GAGCTGTGGGAAGGAGTGGGCAGCGCTGGCGGTGGGTGCCAGGGGTTGCCCGTGGGTGCTGGTGATGGAGTGAGGAGGGGAGAGCGTTGGCCTCGGGGGAAGAGGCTTCGAGGGCTTCGCAGAGGTTTCCTTTTGCTCAGAATGCTTCAAAATTCACAGTTGGCTTTTAAAAAAACTCTTTATTTTCTACCTTGATGCTGAGTTGCGTTGGTTTCAGAGCAAGGCGTGGAAGTTGTAAAGCTGCTGCTTGCGAGGGCCGTGTCTTTGAGACAGGGACAAGGACAGCCCTTCAGGTGCCACCTCAGTTAGCCTTGCCTTGGCTTGCCTTTTTGACTCTCTCAGGGAAAAAGCAATGGTTTCTCTCTGGCTTCTCTTGGCATTGGAAATTCTGCTTGGAGAGCCTCTGTGGACCCCGAGCTCCTGCTGATTGCAGCGAGGAAGGAGGGTGGTCGTTAGCTGCTGAGGTCTGATTGACTCCAGGGTACTTGCAATGGCTTTTCTTCAGGCATCATTCTGCAGCAGGGAGAGCGTGGATGATTTATGGAGTGGGGTTGCTGCTTATAAAATAAAGAAAGACTTAGAATTGGATGGGTAAAAATGACCTGCTGGAAATCCTGGGGTTTATACTATGAGCCAGTTTAATAGCAGGAATAGCAAGACCTTTCCTTGTTGCAGCAAAGGTTGAGAAAACAAGCTGGTCCCTGTTAGATTGAGCTCTGGGGTGCCCCTTGCCATGGATGGGAGCTGTAGGGCTGTGCTCGAGTCCCATCCCCCTGCAGTGCCCTTTGCATCAGTCTTTCAGCAGGGTCAGTCCATGAAAAACTGAAGTTATTCCTGGTTTATAACAAGTCCGAGTAGGGGAAAGGTAGGGTTTACAAGCAGATGTTTGCAGCAAGGATACGCGTTATTGGCTTAGCAAATAAATTTTAAAAAAAAGCAAAAGCTGATCTTGTTCAAACTTTGGGCTGGGTTTTATGATGTTTCCTGATGGAAGCTGTTGGCCAGTGTCTGCTGGAGGTGTGTTCTGTACCAGACTGGCCGATCAGTTGGCTGAGCTGAGGTTTCAGAGGCTTATGGCTTGCTTTTCGGGGTGTCTGAAACCCTGAAGGTAGTGTGTGTGCTTGGGGCATGAATTCCCTCTTGCTGAGAGCATCTGGACACCACCGTTTTGGGGGTTTGCTTGCCTTGGGAGTAGGCAGCCACCCACAACCACCTTCCTCCCCGCTGGAGGAGCGGTCCTTGAGGTGCCCTTAGCTCAGTGCCCGTGGGTCTGGCGGGCGGCGGAGCCTTTCCCGAGCACCCTGCGCCCAGCCCGTGTCCCTCGAGTGCCCTCCTCCCCGTCAGCTGCGTGTTGCTTTGGGGATGATGGCATTTAGGAATGGGGCAGGGTGGTCCTGCAGGCACCGCGGTGGCCCAGGGGCAGAATCCCAGTGCTGGATGAGCCCTCCCTGGTCTGCATGGGGACAGGGGGCTGCCGAAACCCAGGTGAAGGAAGGCCCCTTACTGCAATGGCTTTGGCTGCTGGCACTGCAGCTGAGTTCATGTGGAAACAAAAATGAGAGAGAGAGAGTGGCTGGCAATAGCAACAGCAACTCCAGAGCTCAGCTCCCCGCTGGCTTCGGACAGAAACCGATGTGGGGAAGGGCGAGCTGCTGTGGAAATGGTTTTGGAGCTGATACCCTGGCCTTCGTGTGTGCCTCTTATCTCTTTTGCTTGCTTTATGGGAGATGGGCAGGTTGTTTTTTCTTCTTTCTTTATCGCTCAGCGCGCTTTAAACCTTGTGATTTGCATGGCTGCGGGCACCATCTGCTCCCCGCGCTGGCCCACAGCAGTTGGCCTGACCGGGGTTTATTCTCCTGCGACGCAGGCAGCCCCTGGCCCGGCCCCGAATCGGCCATGGCTGCCTCCCCATCACCCCAGCGCTGCAAGGCTTCACTGCCTTCGAGCTGTGTCAGTGAGCACCTTTTCTTGTGTGTTTGGGGTTTTTAAAGACCTTTTTTCTTTTTGTTTTGGTAGCTTTGGTTTTTTTGTCCCGCCACTTAAAAAAAAATTAAAAAAGAAAGAAAGAGGAGGTGTTAAAGCTGAAAACCTGACCTGGCAACGTGACTCCAGGCATGTGAAAGGCAGAGGAGACGAGCAGGTGTTCTCTTTAAAAAAAAATACTTAAAAAAGGGGAAAAAAAGAAAAGTTACTTTCTATAGCGTTAAAACCAGAGCTCTGTAATAAACGTGGCTGTTCTGAATGATGAGTTAGCTGTAGCTCGCTGATGGTTTGCATTTTACAAGTTGCATTTGAGTGAACTTCCAAAAAAGCAAGACTACCAAAAGCCTACTTGGGCTGTAAATGTCCATAAATGACATGTAATGAGAGTGCGATGGATCTGACCGCTTTAATCTGCACTGGTGCAGGCACTGGGGAGCTGCACTCCCAAGCACGTTACACTGAGAGGATCCATCTGGCTCCATCGTATCCAAATTGCTGTGAGGCCTCGGCCCTGGGCGCAGCTTGGACCCCTGCACTTCCCGGGCTGTCAGATGCCAGGCCTGGCCCTTCTCCATCTCTGCCTCGTGCCTTGGTGGCAGTGTTATTGTGGAGGATGAGGTTTGCCCGGGCTGTAAACAGGATGTGTCCATGGTTGTCTCTTGTTTTAAATGCAGCGTGTGTATGAACATGGAGCTAAACCGTGATAATTCTTTTTTTCTTTCTTTTCCCCCATCCCTTCTCTCCCCACCCCTAGCGAACAGTGCTGAGTAAGGGAGAGACAAGGAAAGACGCCTGCATGAAGACTGAGCTGCTGAAAGATATCACCAACAACAAAGAGGAAGGTGAGCACCTGCCCCCACTGAGGGCCAGACCTTGCTCATGTGCTGGGCACCAAACTGGGGGCTTGGAGATTTGTGCTGTGCCCTGAGGGTCTCAGGTGTGCTCCCATGAATAGGGTGGCTCTGTTCTCCTCCTGGGTTTATTCCGAGCAGGGCTTTTCCCCAGATGATAACAAATTTGCTTTTCAGTCCATCGATTTCCACCCACCTAAAGAATTCTATCTCGTTTTCACTTCTGCTTTGGTGTGGCTGTGAAGTGCAGCAGAGTTACTTTGAACCTCCTCTGTGGAACTGCTTTTAACTGAACTCTGATCCCCGCCACATGATGACCTAGCCCTTTCCTCCCTCTGCCAGAGTTAACTTTCTGTTTTCCTCTGAGTTTCTCTGTTGCTGCAGAGCAGGCACCGGTCGCTGCGGGATGGCCGGTGGGGTTAGGCACTCCACTCCTCGTGCTGCTGGGGGATGCTTCATGGCTTCTGCCTTGTTTCTGCTCGCTTTTACCATGCAGGATGCAGCGCACGTGTTAATTTGACAAAGTTTCTCCTGTGTGGTTGCCCGTGAGTTGGTGCACACAAATCTAAGGGCTTAATAAATGTGTCAGTGGGATTAGGAAAAGTACCCACTACCCTTTTTCTTCTCCCTCCTTCCTTTCTTCCCGTGGCTTTGTTATTCCTTTACTAGTTACTTCTCATAGCTCTGCAGGGATTTGGTGCGTTTTTGTTCTCCTCTCCGTAATAGAGCATTAGGAAAGCACCGAACTGGCCCCATCAGAATACCTGGTCTTAGCTGGAAACCAGATTTTGGACTAAACTCAGATGTGTGTGAGCACAGCATTGCCTTTTCTTTCACTTCTGCTCAATGTAGTGTTTTGTCAAGCTGCTCTAGTTCGAAAGTAAAGCTCAGAACAGGCAAAATACTGAATGCTGTGTCAGATGTGGCCACGGTGCTTGGATATTAACTGGGAGCACGTGAGCGCTGGCGCTGACGCCAGTTGTGTATGGACCTCTGGTCTGGGCAGACGTCTGAGACGTCAGGAGGAGGTCGCGTTGCTCTGGAGGACGCTCTGGCTTTGATCCCTTGCCGTGTCTGCCTCAGGAGTACAAAGCTGGTTTATTTAGCTCTTGGTTGATCTCGAGGTAAGTGTTGAGAGTCTGTGGAGGAGAAAATCCAGAAGGAGGATGGGAAGAGAGACGTTCATGAGGTGCTCAGTTTTCAACCACTTCAGCTTGTTGTCCATTCTGTTACTGGGGAAAGAAGGGTCCTAAAATGCGAACTGAACTGTCTCCATTCTTGTGGTAGCATTTGAGTTGTGTCCTTCTCTTCCCAAGCGTACCACGTGTGTAAAAGCACTGGTTTGCGTGGTCACTTGCTGTATGCATTGTTCTTCACTGACCTGCGTTACCCAGCTGTGATCATCATAGGAGTTCAATTAGTTACTGTCCCGAAATTCTGTTAATAACAGTGTTTAGCGTTGGCAAAGAATTTGCATTTTTGAGTGCAGGGTGGACGTGAGATCAAGTTTGCAGATGCCAGCAGGCGGAGTGATGCTCCCGAGGGAAGGGATGTGCCATCCAGAGTCACCTGGAGAAGTAGGCCCAGGTGAACCTCATGAGGTTCAACCAGGCCAAGTGCAAGGTCCTGCACCTGGGTTGGGGCAGCCCCTGGTATCAATACAGGCTGGGGGATGAAGGGATTGAGAAGCAGCCATGCGAAGAAAGACTGGGGGTACTGGGGGATGTAAAGGCCAACCACATCCTGGGCTGCAGATGAGGACCTTGCCCCTCTACTCTGGTGGGACTCCATCTGCAGTCCTGCATCCAGCTCTGGAGTCCCCAGCACAGGAAAGACATGGAGCTGTTGGAGCTGGTCCAGAGGAATGCCACAGAAATGATCAGAGGGACGGAGCAGCTCTGCTGTGAGGAAAGGCTGAGAGAGCTGGCGTTGTTCAGCCTGGAGAAGAGAAGGCTCCAGGGAGGCCTTATTGTGACCTTTCAGAAATTAAAAGGGGCTTATAAGAAAGATGGGGACAGACCTTTTAGTAGGACCTGCAGTGATAAGACAAGGGATAATGATTTTAAACTAAAAGAGAGGTGATTCACAGTAGATCTATAAAGAAGTTGTTTCAGATGAGGGTGGTGAGGCACTGGTACAGATTGCCCAGAGAGGTGGTAGATGCCCCATCCTTTGAAACACTCAAGGTCAGGTTGGACGAGGCTGGGCAACCTGATCTGATCCAAGATGTCGCTGTGCACTGCAGAGAAGGGACCAAGTGGCCTTTAAAGGTTCCTTCCATTCCAAAGCATTCTCTGATGTGTGCAATGGGAATCCGCACAGGGCAGCTGGGGCTTCTGGGCTCTGGTTCAGGCTGAGCTGCTGCAGTGGATGGACGTGTGCTCGATGGGAGCCGTGCCCTGCAGTGTCAGATTGGTTCTGTCCTGGGTTTTGTTCCCTTTGGGAAAAGCCCGTGGGCAGGTTATCTGTGAATATTGCGCCTGGGATCTAAACCTTTGAGAGGCTTGAACCTGCAGATACAAATGTACTGTTTGGGCTAAAAACTTACTTTGAATTCCTGTGGTTTCCCTCTTCTTACTCCCTCTTGTCTTGGAAGGGCACTGGTACTGAGGTCAGTATCAGATCCCTGTTGAACCATGTCAGCATGTACTGTGGCTCCACTGCTCCTCTCTGGCCTTTTTCGAGTTGCACCTCTGCATACAAACTTGTGCTTTCTCTGTGTCTGAGATCACAGAATCCCAGCATGTCAGGAGTTGGAAGGGCCCTGGAAAACTCCCCCAGTGCAACCCCTGCCAGAGCAGGTTCACCAGAGCAGTCACACAGGAACACGGCCAGGGCTTTGGGTGTCTGCAGACAAGGAGACTCCACAACCTCTCTGGGCAGCCTGGGCCATGCTCCAGAACCCTCACACTCACAAACTTTGGCCTCATGTTCAGCTTGAACCTCCTGTGCTCCAGCTTGGGACCATTGCCCCTTGTCCTGGCATTGGCCATCCCAGAGCAGAGCCTGGCTCCTTCCTCCTGACACTGCCCTTTCCCAATGGATCCCCAGGAATGAGGGCACCCCTCAGTGTCCTCTGCTCCAAGCTGAAGAGCCCCAGCTCCCTCAGCCGTTCCTCAGCAGGAGATGCTCCACTCCCTCCAGCATCTTTGTGGTCCTGCTGGACTCTTTCAAGCAGTTCCTGTCCTTCTTGAGCTGAGGGCCCAGCACTGGACACAAGATTGCAGCTGTGGTGTGAGCAGGGCAGAGCAGAGGGGCAGGAGAACCTCCCTGCCCTATAACCACCCCTTCTGATGAGCCAGGAAATTCAGGTAACCTGCAGCCCTGAATGAGATTTAGGGGTCTGTCCCCAAGCACAGTGGCTCTGCTGCAGTAGTGCCTGTAGCTGCTGTGTGGCTCCACCACTGATGAAGATCAGCGTGTTGGAGATCTCCATGAAGATCCCCTGTTGCAGGAAAGGCTCACACTCTTGTGGGGCAATAGCTGAGCTGCCCTAGTTCATAGTCTGTGGTTTTATCTGTAGGAATGAGATCTTTGCTTGTTCCCAGTACTTTTAATTTCCAGTTCTGGGGTTGAGTCCCAGCCTATGTAAAGCCCCGTGTAAGTTGCTCACTAGACTTGGTATCCCCTTCTGTGTAAAATTGTTCGATATAGATAGAATTAAAAAAAAAGCTGTGAATGAAAGTGTGGATTTTGGCCGTAAGGAAATGTTCCAGTTCAGTTTTACGTGTGAGTGTGAGTTTAGATCTATCTTTCCCTGTGGCGGGGAAAGGGGCAGGGAGATGGAAGAGATGAGCGGAAAACAGTTGCTCTCGTGTTTTATGAGGCCGCGTTGTCTTTAGTCTGACTCAGAGAGAAACTAATTAAAACGTGGTTTCTTTGCAAGCGTTGCAGACGATTTCAGTTCTCCTCCTAACGTATGTAGCTCCTAACTCGGTGCTGCATCTCGCTTGACCTTTCAAGGCAAACCGCTCCTTTTCTGATTCCCCAGCCCCAGAGACAGAAAGTTCCACTAAAGCAGCCGCTCGAAGGAGCAGGAAGGGGAGTTGGTAACAAAGTTCTCCTTTAGCCTCTGCGTTTCTGAGACTTCATCCGAGGCAGCCGTTGTAGGGGAGCCGTGGCGCTGGAGCACAGCGCTGGGTGAGGCGCACAGCCCCTGTGCTCTCAAATTAACTCGAAGCTGCTTTTGGAGAGTGTCAGCGTTTTGAATTCCTGGAGGGGCCTTTTTTCTCTTTTTTTTTTTTGTTCGTTTCTGTTTCTCCCTCTTCTTGCCGATCGGAGGCTGATGTGAGTGAGCAAAGTGCTGCTTTCCACTGAGCAGCTGCTACCTTTGCATTCCCAGCTGCAGAGGTGGCTGCTTTAAAAGGAGCAAAAGGAAAATCTCCTCACCTTGCTGTAGTCAGCACTGCGAACCCCTGCTGAGACCAGGCAGAGCAAAATTATGCTTAGCAGTGTTAGATGTTCACCCAGATGCTCCCCGTGCTCGAGACCCCTGCTCCGGGGAGGCCGTGCCCTGTGGCACACAGAAGAAATCCTGCAGCCCTGGAGCAGGGGCATCCCTTGGTCACAGATGGGCCCAGGGCTTCGTGGCCAGTGCTGTAACACCACGGCCCTGATCCCACGGCAAAGGAATGAATTAATTTCATGTGGGCCATTAAACTGCTGTGAGTCACTGCTGGTGTTCGCAGGCAGCCCACTGGCGAGATGCTGAATCCCATTTACCCGACCTGTGTCATCTCAGTTTTGTGTGTTCACAGCTGAAGTTGTTCTTGGTTTTTCTTTGCTTTTTTACTTTCTTTCCCTGTGTTGGCTCTTGATGTGTCTGTTGGAGGTGGTAAGCGATGACGCTGCCACAAGGTGACAGAGCTCCAGGGCACTGGGAGGAGTGGCAGTTGTGTTTTGGAAATGCATGGCCAGGCTCTTGGATGGGTATCACCCACCTTTCTGGATTTAGAAGGGTGGGGGAAAGAAGAGACCATCAATAACTCTCC